ATTTAGGGGGTGGCAGCAGACGATTTCAAAAAAAGTTGTTTTCATTGGCAAACTAAATCTTTTTAACCTATTTTTTTGTTACTTAGTATGGCATGATTTTAAATTGTTTTTATTGTATTTTTGCAGTTATGTTATTATTAGTTCTTACAAGAATATTTACATTTTGTATTGCTTTTTTTAAATATCTTTTAAATAAAATATATTTTAGGTATTTTAACAATATTTAAATATTTAATTTTAACTGAAGGTGACATATGTTAGTCCAAACATGTATTGTTTTTTATTATTAATTAATGTTTTTATAAATTAAAATTTGTCTTGTTTATGAATATATATATATATATATATATATATATATATATATATATATATATATATATATATATATATATATATATATATATATATATATATCAACCCTCGAAATTAAGAAAAATGAGTTTATTGCTGACTTCAATCTTTTTGAGGTCATCAAATATTATTTGATACAAAGGTCTAACCACAAAACAAAGAAACTAGGTCGGCAATTTTTTGCCGATCTAGTTTCTTTGTTTACCTCAAACACTTTCTTGTTACCTCAAACACTTTCAGGTCGGGATTACTGAATGTCGAACCTAATTTTGAGGGTTGTTATATATATATATATATATATATATATATATATATATATATATATATATATATATATATATATATATATAAAATATATATATTACATATAGTATATATATTACATATAATATATTTATTATTATTTAGTTGTTATTAGGGTGTAATTTCCTTTTAAATTTTGTTGAACATCTATTTTAGATGAACAAAACAAAACATCATAAATGATAAAAAATTATATCATCAAAGTCAGTATTCCAGATGTAGCAAAAAAGAGAAAACCAACCAAACATTATGTAACATTTTTTTTTTGTAAATAACAAATTTGAAGTTTCTTTTGTTTTTTTTTATATATCAATTAAGTTATATAAACAATATATAACATTAGTTATTATTTATAAATATTAATTGTTAATGTTGTATATTATTTATATAACCCTCGGAATTAGAGTTGGCATTCGGCAATGACGACCTAACTGCTTAACTGAAAGTGCTTGAGATAAGTAAAAAATTGCTGATTTCGTTTCCATGTCAGACCTTTGTATAAACTAATGTTGACCTGATGCCGACCTCAAAAAGATTAAGGTCGGCAATTTTTTGCTGACCTCATTTTTCCAAAATCCGAGGCTTGTTTATATAGAATTATTTATTAATTTAACCATTTTTATATGCACATCAGTTTTCTCAGATTTTGTTAATTTTACAGGTTTATATCATTAATTTACTTTGGTCAGATGGAACACAACAAATTATTTGTAGACGTTACTGCCAGTTTTTTGATCTGCAGGTTCATCAAATATTATCCTTTATCTTTTTTTTTATCTTTTTTTTTATTATATTGCTGTATAATTTGAAATATTTAGTTATTAAAAACAAAAGAGTTACAGAAAAAAACTTTTTAATTAAAAAATAATAATTAAAAAAGTCTTTTTTAAATGTTTTGTTTGATTTATTTATTTATTTTAACTCCTTTGCTAATTTGGATTAAAGAAATGAATAGAAAAACTATACCACCAAGCAGGAAATACCATTTTTTAATCAGGCAATCAAATAAATAATTATTTTTGTTGAACTCTTTTGTTATAGGAAACTCTGGAGAACATTTTGATTCTTCTAACTTATCGTTTGATCAGTTCTCTCTATTATTAGCAAGGTCTTTGAGTCTTTATTAACAAGTTTCTACGCATCCTATCTTGAGTCAAATAACTGTCTTACAACCAATAAGGTTTACAATCTTCTTGTTCTACAGCTGACTTGCCAACTTCTGTGACTGAAAGATTCGTGCATATGGAGGCAGTGAGGCAAAGGCTATTTCTCTTGACATATCTAAAGCTTTCAATAAAGCTTTAGATATGTCAAGATATATTTGGGCTTCTTCATAAGCTTGCTTCATATGGTATATCTGATAAAGTTTTTGAGATTATCAAATCATTTCTTTCTAACCACTTTATCTCAAAGGCTAACTCTCTTATTTATTTCCTGTAACTTCTGGGGTACCTTGAGGTTCTATCTTTGGTCCTACTTTATTTCTTATCTGCATTAATGATCTTGCTGACAATCTTACATCTAAAGTAGCTTAAAAATTTGTTGATGACTCAACTTTATACTCCTGTCTTGACAAAAAGTCTTCTCTTTTTGATCACTTAGAACAGGCAGCTGATCTTGAATGTAACAGATTGGGGCTTGCAGTGGTTTGTGAATTTAAACTCCAACAAAACTAATTTATTTAATTCAAATGAGTATTGCAACATTGTTGACATTCTTATATTAATAAATAGCAACCCTCTTACTGAGTCCTTTTCTTTACCTCTACTTGGATTATCATTCATTACTAATCTCTCATAGAAACCATATATACTATCAATTACAAAGTTAGGATCTGTTAAAGTTGTTTCTCTTTATCTTGCTTGCTATTTTTTTACCTCTGATTTCATTCTCTACTTCTACAAACCTCTTGTATGGAATATTTAGGCTGGTTCTTCTAATAATGGTCTTTCTCTTTTTGATGAGGTCTCAATAGTCTAAGTCTGACAAATTGTTTTTTTTTTTTTTGAAAGTTATACAGAAATTTAAAAATGTTATTTCTTTTTATCTAAGAAATTTTTTAAATTCATCAAATACCAAATTTTTCAGCATTAAGATTAATAAATAATTTGAGAGATCCTGTAAAATTTCATTATTTGCAACTTTTTTTCTAAAGTTTATTAGCCTAATTAAAATTCACTTTAATACAGCTACAAACTTCAATACTCTCAAAAATGCTTTAGATGTATTAATTACTTCATAAGAATTTTCTTCCAAGATAAATATTAATTTTTTATTTGCTTGTTTATTTATTTATTTTATTTTTTTATTAATAGCTTTAAAATAAAATGTTGAGTGAAATATTTTTATGTATATATTTTTAAGACTAACTTAATTGATGCTTTCCCACTTGAATCTGGAGAAGTTAATCCAAATCAAAGAATATTACCATTATTGCCAGGTATTTCTTTTGTGCGTGTGTGGTGGGTGAGGTTACTTGTTTTTAAAAGAGTTTTAACCTGTTATAAATATGTTAAAAAATAATACTTCTGCTTTAGGAAAAAACTCAATTAAATTAACCACAAATTCAAGAACTATAATCAATTGTAACAATCATAAAATATATGTCCACCAAAATAACAACAATTACATTTTTCTTTGATTATCACTATCGGATTGTATTGAAATAAACGCTGACACGTTGCACATCCATATTTTGCCGGATACCAGATTACACAGTTATAACATAACCACAAAAAAACAACCTTAGTGAGATATACTTGGTGTTAGCCAGAAATATATTTTGCAATAAATATTCCCAATATCGCGTTTTTGCGATATTGGGAATATATATATTTTTTCTGTGACCTATTATGAAACTTTATTTAAATTGTCCTATTACTTCATTAAAAAATAATTGAGTTTTGGGAATATTAAAGTTATATTAAAGGAGGAATTTTAGCTCAGATCAGATATTAAAGGAGGAATTTCAGCTGTTTCATCATAATTTAAATTTTATTTAATATGTTTATGTAAGTTTCATAATATAATGAGAAACAAAAACCTAATTTTTGAGAAATTAATGTTTAAAGTTTGACAATTTTGAAAACCTTATTACACTGATTTATTCATTTTAGTTGATTAGTTCATTACTGCACATCATTACAGGTTTAATCTATATCAGTAAATGATATACAGTGCTTTCAAAAAAAAGGGGCGCAATAAAATTTTGTTGCTTAAAGTATATTTAAATTACCATACTAAAAGATAAAAGATACCAAACATAAGAAGGTATTGAACAAATTGTTTTTTTATTTGCGAGAAAAATCTTTTTTAAACAAATCTTGCATCTTGGATGGCATACTAAAACATAAAATTGTATAATCAAATTTTATTAAACATAATAACAAAAAATATCAATAAAAAACTGTAATGTATAAAAAATTAAAGCACAAAATTAAAATCTAAGTTAGTATTTAAAATATCCCCCACAAGCTTTTCTGTAAGCAGTACATCTTTTTTGCATCAATTTTACAAGATTGTTGTTGATTTCGTTTGGAATTCTTCCCAAATGGTATCTAGCTTTAGGCTGTTTATGTATTTTATTCACACCTTATCTAATTCTTTGTCCATCCAAGCCCACATAGATTCAATTGGATTCAAGTCTGGTGGTTGAACTGGCAAGGGCATTAAATCTATTTTATTTTGTTTCATCCATTCTTTTACTGTACAAGCTGTGTGGGTAGGTGCCAAATCTTGTTAAAATTGCCACCATTCTTTTCGATCAATCAACATGTCCACTGATAGAACCATGCAGTTCTCTAGCCTCTCTATATATGTATATTGGTTAATTCAACCTGTATAAATGTTACACACTCCTACTCTGTTAAAAGCCCCAAATGCCAACACTGCCGCCACTTTGCAACCTCTGTACAACTAAGTGATTACTATACTTTTCTAATTTAAATCTTTTAACATAACTTTTGCTTTTTCTATTTATTACTTCAAAGTTTCTTTCATCATTAAAAATTACTTGCTTCTACTTCTCTAAAAACCTTCCAGTTTTCTTCTTACAAGGAGATAATTTACAGAAATGCTACAAGACATCCAGATACCATTATCTTGTTTTTGGATTAGAAGCATTCTGCCTTTAATTTTATAAACATTTACAATGTTTTGTTGTTTAAATTAAGTTTTTTTTATTAAGTGGCTAATATACACTATATTTTGATTTTTCAAAAATGATTTTCATTAAAAAAACTTTAATTAAAGTTTTAAAGCTGATTTTTACATATAATGTGCATCTAGTATGAGTAATTCTTGAATAAAGTTTAGTAATTAAAACTCTTATTAATTTTTTTGTATTTTATTTGACAATCTAGTTTTGTGATTTGTGACTTTCTATTTAATTTTTAAACATGTATTGCAATGTTTTGTTGTTTAAATTAGGTTTTTTTGTTCACCCCATTTTTAGATTTTTCAAAAATGATTTATTTTAATAAATAATTATTTAATAAATTTCAAACAAAGAAGACTGGGTATCATTAAAACTGGGTAAAATATCTTATTTCACTAATTTATTAGCTAAATAATTAGCTAATAAGTTAGATCTTTAATGTATATATAATTAAATAATAATGTAATTAAAAAGTTAGAAATAAATGACATGTTTCTTTACTGTGAGAATTCAAGTTTAAACTTAAAAAGTGAAAAATAGTAAAAAATATTCCTGGTGAAATTGTTGGTGTTTTTTGATTATTTTTTTTTTAATAAAAAAAAATTTTAATGATGTTAATGGCAACTAGAAATAGAATAAAAATATTTTAAAGAATCTTTTATGTTAGGAAAGATTTTGTTTGGAAGAAGTAGCGTAAAAAATGTTGCGCTTAAAAGAAAAGATCTACTATCTGAATACCTTCAGGTAAATTATTGTTTAATAAAATATGTTATATCAGTTAAATTATTGTTCAATATCAGGTAAAGTATTGTTCAATAAAGTATGTTATTTAAATGTGGTATATTAAAACAAAAATTTTTGAACTTTCAAATCATTCAAAAACTATTTAACAAAAAAGTTATCAAAGAGAATTCTGTACTAAAAACATAATTTTATAGGGTTTTTGCAAATGTTATGATAAATATATATGTACAATAGCAGAAAAACGTTTGGCGTATCTGAAAAATACTTTTCTGCTTCTGTTTACCAATATGAAACTCCCCAGGGACATCACATTTGACCAACTCCAACATTGTATTTTTTACCTTCTTGTCAACACAATTTGTCAGATAGACAGTGATAACCGGGGCTCTGGCCTTAGTTAAAATCAGATTTTTTACAAATGTGGCTCTGTCCTAGCAAAATTATAGATTTAGCAATGGTAATAGCTGTGGATTAGAAAAAAATTATCATACTTTATATATTATAAATTTATGCATACATTTATTGTTTATTAAATACTGGCACTGTAGGAAAAAGAAAGAGATGCAAGATGGGAGAGTGGTTCAAACTTCCCAGATAAAGCTTGTCTAATTGCATTTACAATATGCTTTAAGATTTTATCTGAGAGTGAGAGGGTTGTTATTAGTCAATATAGAAATGTCAACATTATTGTGATATTTGTTTGCAGTAAATAACTGATTTGGAGTGAAAAACCACTGCAAGCCCCAAGCTTTTACAGAAGGTAGATTAAATTTAGAGAGACTAAAAATCTGCTGCTTGTTCTAAGCATCAAAAAGTGAAGACTTTTTGTTAAGACAGGGTTAAAAAGTTTTTATCATATAACATTTTGTCAGCAATTAAAGCCACTTTAGATGTCAGTAAGATAGTAAATAAGAAACAAGGCAGGAGCAAAGATAGAACCTTGTGGTACCCTAAAAGTTACTGGAAATAAAGAATGGAGAATTTATATTTGAGAATGACTTAAATACTGCAGTTAGAAAGAAATAATTTAATAACCTCGAAACCTTTATGTAAAGAAACTAATAATAGAGAGAAGAGTTGGAAGGTAGTTAGAGAGAGTCAAAGTGTTTTTAATATTAGAACCACTTATTTAGCACTAATAGTTTTAAGAGAATTCTGGAGAACAATTTTTTTTAAGACCATGTTGGAAATGTTGTCTGAGCCATAAGTCATAGAGAAGTTTGATTGAGAATTGACTTTAGCATTGGAAGCTGGAGTGATTTGAATTTCTAACAATGGTTACCCCTTTAACTGGATTAGTAGGAAGAGTATGGCCATAAGAATTTTTTAGTTTTATTCTGGGTAGAAGTAATAAAATTAGACCCATGAATTAGAGACGGAATGTTAGACTTACTTTAGTTAATGACACTTTTGAAGATTTTCCAAAGGTCTCTAGAACTTAACATCTAAGAAAAATACAAGGTTTTGTGAAATGGGAATAAGGGAGCCTAGCATCAGACAACACCTTTTTACATTGATTTCTTACAATATTAAAAAGGCTTTTGTTCTGAAGAGAGATGTTTTTGTAAAAAAGATTAAAAACAGGATTATGGTTAAATATAACAACTGTAATATTAGATATCAGAAAATAAGAAAAGTGCTATGCATGGTGTTTTAAATGTATTTCTTTTTTTGAAGAAACTCTTTATTTAATTTTTTGTTTTAGTTTGAATATATTTATTAGGTGTAACGTCTGTTCACAAAAAATCCGGACTGATTTCAAATGTACTCAAATTGTTCTAAATTTCGAATTTTCGATTCGAAATTTTTAAGTTTAATCGGTCAACATCAACAGTTTCATTTTGTAGCAAAATTGAGTTTAAATAATTAATTCAAATAAACATGGAGCATTTAAAAGAGAACGATGTTAGAAATGTGATTGGAAATTTTTATAAACAAAATATAAACAGTGGAAAGAAATTTACAGTGGATCATTTTAAGAAAATGGGAATTGCTAAATCTACAATTTATGACATAATTAAAAGGTCTGAAAATAATTTGCCAATGAAAAGAAAAATCGGTTGCGGCAGAAAACCTTTTAAAATCACACCAGAAAAGATAGAGTCTATGATTGCAAGAGCAATCATAGACTCTATCTTTTAAGAAATATATAATAAATAAGAAAATTGGCCCTAAAATATAAGATAAGCGTTTCATATGTAAATAGATTATTAAGTATGCATGGACTGAAGTATACCAAAAGAAAAAATGCACCAAAAACAACAGAAAAGCAAGAAATTAAACAAAAGAAAAACTTATTAAAACTTTCAAAAACTTTTTTCAAGCCATCAAATGAGTTTGAAATCATCATGGACGATGAATCTTATTTCTGTGTAAATGGTGCAAATTGTTCACAAAACTCTGGCTACTATACAAAGGGTAGTTCTCAAACTGATCCTAACATTAAATTCAACTTCAAAAAAAAATTTGACAAGAAAGTTCTTGTTTGGATTGCAATTAGTCGTTTCGGTCATTCATTGCCTTATTTTGCTGTAAAAAACTGTGCACTGGATGCAAAAACTTATTCTAAAGAATGTATTACAAAAAGACTTCATCCATTTATAAATTCCAAGCATCAAAACATGAAAATTTTATTTTGGCCTGACGGAGTGAGATGTCATTATGCAAAACACACATTAAAAACTTACAACACTTTAGGTATTAACTTTGTCGACGCTAAAGAAACCCCCTAAATGTACCGCAGTTAAGGCCAATTGAAAATTTTTGGGCACATTTAAAAGCAAAAGTTTATGGAAATGGACTTACTGCGAAAAATCTTGACCACCTTAAGAATAGAATTCAATTAAAGTTGAAAGAGTTCGATCCAGACTACTTTTTCAACCTAATGGATTCAGTCAAAACTAAAGTTCGAAAAGCCGCTGATTTAGGACCACTTTCGGTAATAAAATAGTTAACGATGTCCAGTCTCTCATTTTAGTTAAAATTTTTGTCAAAAATCGATTAATTTTGTATTAAATTAAGAACAATTTTTCATTCCGGATTTTTTGTGAACAGACGTTATATTATATTAAGTGTGTATATATATATATATATATATACATATATATATATATATATATATATATATATATATATATATATATATATATATATATATATATATATATATATATATATATATATATATATATATATATATATATATATATATATATATATATATATATATATATATATATATATATATATATATATTGCTCACTTTTTTTGCTAGCCTAAATTAAGTGAGCGTTTTTAGAAAACGATGAGGGAAAATGAAGAATAATGAATGAAAAGGTTGCTGACCCATGCCAAGCCCTCAGTCGATGCAGCAGCACTCCACTACGAGTCAGGCTATTTGTCAGTCGATGTATGTACTGAAGCCCCCAGCAGCAGGCTATTTGGCTTTAGGTGAGTATGACATCATCATGCTCACCTAACTCAGCAGTATAAGATATATATATATATATATATATATATATAATATATATATATATATAGGTGTATATATATATATATATATATATATATATATATATATATATGTATGTATATATATATATATATCTATATACAGGGTGGCCAGCAACCTGGAAAACCTAGAAAAGTCAGGGAAATTCCAAGCTATGCTAAAAAGTCAGGGAAAAGTCAGGGAATGTTAAATTTTCCAAAAGTCATGGAAAAGTCAGGGAATTTTGGTGGATTCAGTAACAAAATATTTATATTTTATTGCGTATTAGAAACTAAAAATCTTACATTTTATATGCTATATAATTATTTTGTATAACTTTATTATTATTCTTTTTCACATTTTGGTTCTTACTTTTCAAAAATATTTTGTCATATTATGTAAAGATCAAACAGGAAAGAAATTTGTTGCAGTCCCTTTTTTCACTTATTTCAAAAGGGCTGTATACTGTATAATATATATATATATATGTGTGTATATATATATATGTGTGTATATATATATATATATATATATATATATATATATATATATATATATATATATATATATATATACACAAATAGTATTGCGTACTAAGGTAAGCAATCTGAATTCATACTGAAATAGCCTGCTGTTGGGGGCTTCGGTACATACATCGACTGACAAATAGCCTGACTCGCAGTAGAGTGCTGCTACATCGACTGAGGGTTTGGGATGAGGAAACAATTATTTTATTCATCATTCTTTGTTTTTTTGAAAAAAAACAGCATAGCTTAAGGTAAGCAGAAAAAGTGAGCAAATGCTTATCAAAACACGCTTTAGTAAGTGTATATATATATATATATATATATATATATATATATATATATATATATATATATATATATATATATATTACACACAAGTCTGAATAAAAAGATATAATTATAGTTTCATCATCATACAGTTTTTAATTTTTTTTTATTGATCTTCAGTATTATTCCATAAATGACAAAGTTTTCCAGTTTTAAAAACTTTCTTTTTAATAAACAACTGCATAAAAAGAAACAACTACTTTCCTTTTTCATCTAAATTAAATTGAAGGTTGACTCAAAGCAAATGATTTTCAAACAATTTGTTTCAAAGAGTAGTTTGCATTTGTAATCAAAGAAAATTATAGCTTGGTGCATACAAGGCCTGTAAGTCTATCCTCATGTCATTGCAGCCATTTCAAAATCGTTTTTTAAAGTTGCAAAGATTCAGAAACCCTTGTGTACTGAGCTCCATGAGTTTTTACTATGTTTATAATGACATATAACACTGATTGTCAAATCAATGTTACAGTCAACTTAATATAGTAACTTCAATTTTGACCGCTTTTCAGTAGAGCATCCACAACAATTTTATTTTTATTATCATATGCCCAGAACTGAAAACCATTTCAGACTTGTGTTATAGTAGGACAAAGTTAAATTTTTCTAGCATTTTTTTTACATTTCTGTTTTTATCTTTTATATATATATATATATATATATATATATATATATATATATATATATATATATATATATATATATATATATATATATATATATATATATATATATATATATATATATATATATATATATATAATATATATATATATATATATATATATATATATATATATATATATATATATATATATATATATATATATATATAATATATATATATATATAATATATATTTGCAAATGTGTAAAAAAAAAGATTTTTGAAAAATAAAAATATAATCTTTGATATATTTAATAACTTATTAACTAGAATAAAAATTATTTGAATTTTACTTGACATAAATCTCTTAAATTAGACGTTCATCAATAAATAATGATACACAAGTCAGCATTTATTTTAAAAATGTTTTGTCACGCCCTGGGATAAAAAATAGTTGGCAGATGCCATTGTTTCAAGGTTATTGTAATTCCTTTTTTTTAGTAAATAATTTCTTAATTAGAAATTATATTTCCATGATAAAATGATTTGTAATTATTTTTTGATAGCTTCTGTACTCATTTGCCTTAAACTCTAATCTGAATATTTTTTTCAATGATTGCCTTTAATTAAGTTGCACTAAAGTATTCAGGAAATTTTGTGGGAGTTTAATTATAATTATGGAATCAATTAAATTAAAAATTTCATTTTTTTTTTTTAATGCATTCTTTAAACGCGCTAATTATCAAAACTTGCAAAAAGCCTTGTTGAGTTGTTAAAACAAAGAACTATATGCGTGGTCATATAAGGCGTGCTTACGAGAAGGCCTAATATATATGTATATATATATATATATACATATATATATATATATATATATATATATATATATATATATATATATATATATATATATATATATATATATATATATATATATATATATATATATATATATATTAGGGCTGTTCAGTATGCTAATTTGTTTTCAGAACATAGCTAATTGAAGTTTTTCCCATTCAACTATCATATTGTAGTTTAAAAATATTTTTTACTAAATTTTATTATTTGCCCTAAAGGTCCCTCAAAGCCTCCAAATATTTGACAAGTCCCTAATATTATTGAAAAAAAAAAATTATTTAAAAATATGTCAACTTGGTACTCAAAAGAAGCAAAATCATTTAAAAATTTCAAAAACAAAAAGTATTTTTTATAAAAAAAACAATATTAGGTTTTTTTGAATAAAAACTATGGTTTTTAAACGAAAAATGAAAAAAAGGTAATATTCACAACATTTTTAATAATAAGTTTTTTTAAGTTGTTTTTTTATAAAAAATGAATCTAATTTTTAAAATTTTTATAAAATTTTGCTTCTTTTGAGTACCAAGTTGACATATTTTTAAATAATTTTTTTTTCAATAATATTAGGGACCTGTCAAATGTTTAGGGGCTTTGAGCGACCTTCAGGGCAAATAATAAAATTTAGTAAAAAATATTATTGAACCACAATATGATAGTTGAATGGGAAAAACTTCAATTAGCTATGTTCTGAAAACAAATTAGCATACTGAACAGCCCTAATATATATATATATATATATATATATATATGATGATGATGATGATGATGATGATGATGATGATGATGATGATGATGATGATGATGATGATGATGATGATGATGATGATGACGGTGATGCTGATCATGTTGATGATGATGTTTATATATTATTATACAAAAGTATATATATAAAATATAACATAAATTTTGAATTTAAAAATGATTCTTTAGGATGTATCAATGTTTATTCAGCCCCAGCTGGGACTAAATAAACATCCTAAACATTGATACATCATTGGGGCTTTCTTTTGTCTAGTTAGCCAAACTTACATGAAGGTAAGAGTTTTCAATAAGTATTGAAGTATATTATTAAAAAGTATGTTTATGCTTAATATTTGTAAGCCTCCTAAAACCCTTTGCATAAGCATATTCTTAGTCTATTTTAAAAGTTTCATATGCTTATAAAAGCAAAATCTTATCACAATAAAACTGTTATTAAAACAGCACAAGAAAACGTTTTGATATAATCAAACATTGATATAAAAATTTATTTTAAAAATTTAACTTAATTAGGTATAAGAGTCATTATTTTTTTGATACAGAATCTTTTTCGTTTATTTCTTGCCTCAAGGGACTTCAAAAAATAAAAAAGCTTGAGAAGTGTCCTTAAAAAAAAATGTTTCTGGGACACCCTTATGTTTAATACTGCGTAATGCTAGTGCATAGAATACCACCTCACTTTTTCAAAAATATTAATTTCAACTTCGTTGAAAGCAATATTTTTCTAAACTTAATCAATATGAGTTGGTAATCTATGCACTAGCATTATGCAGTAATTTTGCCAAAACTTGTTTTGAAAACCCTTTTTCTGTTCATCTCAAAGGTCATTGAAAACTTTTAAAATATCATAAAAAAGTTTAAAAAAGTTTTTATTCCAGCAGCTTTTAATAACTTCTGATTATTGACAAATTATTTTTTTGCTTTTCAAGTTTTCAATTTTTCAAAATTTTCTTTGATTTCACATTTTCTGTGCATAATGTTGAATCTTATTGAAAGATTATACAATCTTGTAACTGCATATGTATCTAATATTGTTAATATTAATATTGTTAGTTTTGTTAATGTTAATGTTATTAATATTGTTAATATATAATAATATTTGTAATTTTATGTTGTGTCTCTTAATTACATATGAAAAAGTTTCAATTACAAGTTGTGTCTTAATTGAAAATTATCAAATAAGATTTTTGGGCTTAAAATAGTTTTTTTATAAATTCCCAATTTTTAGATTATATTATTCGTATTAAATTTATCAAAAATCAATGAAATATTTATCACCCTGATGTGTGTATAATATAAACATACATACACCCATATAAAGCACCCATATACAAAAACAAATACAAACACACTATAGTTAATGTGTTAAAGATATATATATATATATATATATATATATATATATATATATATATATATATATATATATATATATATATATATATATATATATATATATATATATATATATATATATATTAAAAACACAATATAATAAATAATATATATATATATATATATATATATATATATATATATATATATATATATATATATATATATATATATATATATATATATATATATATATATATATATATATATATATATATATATATATATATATATATATATATATATATATATATATTAAAAACACAATAATAAATTGTTAGCTTTTCAAATTAAATTTTATATTGTAGAAACTTATTGCTCTTCCAGAGAAAATTTCACAATGTAGCTTTGTAATGGAGTTCTTTGAGGTAACTCATGAAGATATACAAAATTTGACAAGGTAAAAAAAGTTTAATAATAATTGTGTAGAGTAAAATAAATTTTAGCAAATTTTTGCATTTATTGAAAGCATAAAATCTTTAAAATAGTGTTGCACTGAATTATAATTTATTATAATTATAGTTGCTCTAGTTTTTTCTAATTTATTTATTTTTGATATATTTAAATTCTTTCTCAAAAGTTGAATTAAGTTTGGCTTAATAAAAAAGCAATCTTGTAGAAAATTTTATGCCAATCCAGATTCTGACATTATGATGAGAAAACAAATCAATTGATTTCAACTATGCCATTTTCTGTATTGAGTAAACACATAAAATATTAAAGATTCATTGCAGCAAAGAAATAGGATAACCTTGCAGCATATGTATGCTGCTTTCTTTTAGTTTTTAAGTGATTGTGAGAAATTAATTTTTTTAACTTCAAGTATTTTAGTATTAAGATTTTATTTACTGTTCAGTTTATACTTGTATTTGACTTTAATACATTTGACCTTCAAAATAAGTGATGTATAGCCTGAAACATATTGTAATAATAATAATAATAATTAAACTTTGGTTGTCAAATTACAATTATCACAATATTTATTAACAAATAAAAACAATGATGGTTGATTTGGGGACAGCTAAATATTAAGCATAATAATACAAAAAAAGGCTAGTTATAAATATCTATAATAATATTCTACTTACAGTCAAATTAGCAAGAAACTGTAAATCTATTTGTTGATAATTTTATGCTGCAAAACTGAAATTATGTCTAGTTTTAAAATTGTTTTTATTAATTACTTCGATATATTGTAAATGTTGGTTCGTTCCTTATTGCATAACAGGGTCTAAATTTTCCTTACCTGGTTCACAAGCAAATTCATCTACAACCACTAGTAGATTATTTACTTCTTCTATAGATAATGATTCTCTTACAAACAAAACAAGCAGGATGTTTAGTTTATCAGAAGGTAATTAATCTTCTTTGTCGTCAAAAAGTACAACTTCAAAGTGCCATTGTGATAATACATTGCTTGATGCTGAAACAAAGGATTCAGTCAGAGAGTTTCTTACACGTGGTGACAATTCTAGAATAACTACAGGGAAAAAACAGATTTTAACAAAAAAATAAAGATAAAAGGCAAAAGCAGCTACAACTCCATTCATTAATAATCTTTTATGAAAAATTCATTGCAGAGAAAAAATATTTCATATACAATATTAACTTGTTACTTTCCATTTTTTGTCTGCCTGCTAAAGATAGAGACATATGTCTGCACAAAAAACACGAGAACAAACAATTACTTTGTGACAAACTTAATAGCCTAAGTGTTTTGAAAGAAAAAAATATTGAAGTATTGCAACATGTTAGTTGTGGCAGTACCACAACTAACATGTTGCAATAGTTTTTCAATATTTTTTTCTTTTAATAGAATGCATGTTCAGAGAATGTAAAATTTATTTAGAGTCTTGTGTTCAATTTCAAGCAAAAGGATTGCTAAAGGATGAAATTATTATAGTTTGGTTCTAGTTGAAAAAAAAGAAACAGGAATATAAAAAGTAGGGAGGAAATAAAACAATAAATATAGGAAACAATAAATCAGGAAATGTGTAAAGCTTAAAGATCTTAAAGTAAATTTCTGCAAATCAGTTCAAAATGAGCTTTGAAAACATGTATTTATAATAAACTAGTTCAGAATGTACAACCATTTACAAGAAATAGTTAATGTGAACAAAACTATTATACATAGGGGACATCCATAAAGTATGTATGCAGTAAAACCATTGATTTAGGACCCCCTCCCCCTTGTACAAACCGGTATGCTTTCAAAGACCCTCTTTCCTCTCTGCATACGTACGCATTATTTTTTTCAAAATAAAGCCCCCCTCTTCTTCAACGCATAAATATTTCAAAACATTAGGAACTAAAAAACACATTTTATTTGACATTTCTCTGTACTTAATTAAAACTTAAAATGTTACAACATATTTTAACATTTTTTAGAGAAATGATAAAAACCAGTTTGCATAAAGTAGTTTAAAAAAAAGAATTCAAAAAAAGTTTGCTTTTAATTGATGTCTTTTTGATTCTAATTCCGCTACCAATCAAATTTCATTGCGAAAAAAAAAAAAAGTTTATTTAAAACAATTGTTGCTCGATTTCTTTTTTCTCTCCTCGTTATTTATAAAAAAATTAAAAAATTTTTTTTTTGACTGAAGTCAGAAAAAAAACAACACAATATTGATTTGTTATACACATCAAGTTCAATGTTTAAAAAAAATAAAAAATAAAATCAAGATTATGAGAGTTAGTCAAACTGTGTACATATTCACTGTCTTTAACACACCCTGCCCCCTTGCATGCGTTCTTACGCTTTTGGAAAACCCCTCCCCCTACCTGCATACGTACTTTATGGATGACCCCATATAGATTTTTCTGAGAACTACGTGTGCAAGAATTTTGCTGTAATTCAATTTTCACCTTTTGGATCAATTAACAAGTAAGCTACGTTGCATACAGGAGTAATTTATAAAATGAATGGACATCAGTCATTTACAACTATATCTGATTTTTTGAGACATGATTCTCCTTCTATATGGATACATCCGGATCCCGTGCTAATGGAACTCAAGTTAGGTAACATACAAATTACAAATTTTTTTTTTCTTTGATGGACCAACCAAGCAATATAGGAATAAGCAGAATTTACTCAACAGTTCTAAAAAAATTTAAATTTCATTTACTTGGAACTTCTTGAAAGTGGCCATGGCAAGGGAGCCCCAGATGCAATAGGAGGATCTGTGAAAAACCAGACAGTTCATATGGTTAATGGGTTGTGATCTTTTTTATTTAGTTTTATTAATCTATACAATTTTCTGAACACTGGACATTCATTGATAAAGTTTTACTATATTGAAGGATCCAAAATTTCTTCTTTTGATTCAAGATGTTCCAAAACATTAAAGGCTATTACAGGCACTGAAACTTTATTAGCAGCACACAGTAGTTGACAGTGTGCACTGAAATTTTATCACACAGACAGTGTGCACTGAAATTTTATCAGCTGTACACAGACAGCTGCACACAGACAGTTTTGTGTTTTGTATCAAAATTAAAGCTGCTTTTGTTAAAGAGTTTGCACAGGTTAAAGAGCTACAGGTTAAAGAGCTACAGTTTGCACAGGTTACAATTTACATCAATATATGTTTCCCAAAAGCATTAGCATGGTAAAAAAATGTTTGTGCATTTTATTTTTGTGGAAATTTATGTTTCTATAATAGTTAATTTAAATTCAAGGACTTCTATGATACATTAAATGTTTGTTTAATACTGCAGAATTTGAACAGTGGTGAAAGTACTATGTCGGCCAATACAAAGTATTTCAATGATTACCAATTTCAATACTTAAGCAACATCGACCCGAGTCTTAGTTACAGAAGAACTTGAAAAATTAAAGCAAATAGTTTTCTGAGTGAACACAAAATTCTTCACATTAGTGATATAAAATGATTGGTATTCCAGTAATAGATAAGACAGCACTTTAAATTCTAAAAGAATTTCTCTCTACTTAACTTTTTTTTTAAAAGGATGCTTTACCTTTTTTATACGATGTACTGACTTCTTATGTCTATTTTTTCAGACGATGTACTGACTTTTTATGTCTAGCAAGATTTCTTTTGCTATTGAATAATAAAATTATTAACAAATGTTAGTAATAAAGTAGACATTGTCAAATAAATTCAATTTTTTATGTCAATTAATTTGGTTAATGTACTTAACATGTAGACTGTAGTTATAGTAACCAAAAATATTTCATTTAAAAAATTTGATTTTTTATAAAAATAATAATTATTCACAAATATAGATACATAGATGTTATGGTAACGGAATGGAAAAAGTTACTAAAACTCATTTGATGATAATATTTAACTAGGAGATTAGTGCTAAACCAAATTTATTTTGTACATCTCTTATGATAAACCATGTGTATTTATTAACATTTTTATAGATATTGAAAACTTTATTTTCCTGCAACATCAGTTGTGACAAAATTGTTTAATGAGAAATTGAAAACTTTATTTTCCTGCAACATCAGTTATGACAAAATTGTTTAATGAGAAATTGACTTAGAAGTCAATTTCTCATTAAACAGTATATATATATATATATATATATATATATATATATATATATATATATATATATATATATATATATATATATATATATATATATATATATATATATATATATATATATATATATTAGGGTGTTTCATATTTTATCAATTTTTGAAATCGAACTCGCAAATCGATTTATAAATTGACCATTTGTATGAAAATAAGTTTGAGCAAAAAAAAATAAAACAAATTTAAATTTTAGGGTCCCCGCCAGTTCGATTTTGGGCCAAAAATGATGGGTGTTTTAAACGCCTGACGGGGACCTTGAAATTTATCAAAAAATTTTTTTTATTCTTTTAAATGTTATATGTTGGATTGAATATTAATCACATAAATGGAGCATGTTGAAAAAAATAAGAAATTAGTCTACAGAATCTTCTGAAATTGGTGAAAAATCCAAATTTTCCTTCTTAAAAATCTATTTTATCACTCAATCACGTATAAAAAACATTTTTGATTTTCTAAAAAACTGTTTCCAGACGCGGAAAAATCAATAACCTAGATTTTTTTAATAATAGTGTCAAATGAGGTATATAAAGGTCTAAAAAAAAAATTCTTTTATCCTTCGAGGTAACCTAACCCTTACGCTAACCTTAATAGCCTAATAGCAATTGTTTATTTTAGTTATTTTTATAATAAAAAAGACTTAATGAACTTACTGCAACATGGTTAAAAGTGGTATTGTTGTTATTAGTTTTATTGCCTCAAGATTAGAAAGTATATGGTAGCTTTTCAACTTTAAATGATTTTCTTGGTATTGTTGCAAAGTTTTTTTTGGTTTTGTAAAAAATCAAAAAAAAAAAAAAGAATGATATGTTTAAGTATAATTAAATAA